TGAAGAGAGTTTTTAGAATGTTTCTGAAATATATTTGCATTTTTTAAAACCAGTTAAAAAATTTTAAACGCTCTTCTAAATTTCCCTGTGATCCATGAAACACGTGAGAATTATTTGATATCGTAGCATCCTTATCTATGTTTTCTTAAACTTTATTTGTTGTTGATACCTGTTCTGTTATCATATACACCTGGAACTGGTGTGTCACTAACGTTGTTTTCTCTTGAAGACACTGTCACTTGATTTCGGTTTTTATTTGATTGAATTATTAATTATAAATTGATTTTGAGATCTAGCCCTTTTTGTTATGTATTCTGTAAGAGATTTTTGTAGAAGAATTATTTGATATTTTTGGTTTTCTGATCCAATAGTAGAAAAATCATGTAAAGTAATATTATATTTTAATTATTCGTTCTCCATAAAAAAAATATGTTTAGAATATGATATTATGGTTTCATAAATGAAAAACAAAACTCAAATTATTTAATAACTTTCGTTTTTGTAGAAGATTTGCTATATTATAAAGTCTTTCTGATCTCTTGGAAGAAAGAAAAACCACTATATTGTTTTACATGAATGTGTAGCTATACTGTATACAACTATGTTACTATGTGAACAGAATTAGTGTAAACGGTTCAAAAAAACTATATGAAATCAACGTGTCTCGAGTTTTCTGAGTTTAATACACCTAAGATGTTCTTATAGGGTATGAGCGCTTAAAAATACATCCATTCAGGATAACTGTATGCTTTACAATAAATGACTAATGTTAACACAAGATCCAATTCATCTTGATTTGTGTATTTTTTAATAAAGAAGTGTGTTTTTTGATACATTAAACGTATTCGTGACTACACAAAAAAGGAGAGTTTTTGTGAAGTCTATAAGTTTGAAGATAGTAAATGGGCTTTGATTATTTTCATTTTATCTTTTTAAGGTACCAAAACAACAACAACAACTGAACCAGCCACCGTTTGTCCTCCCAAAAACGGGAAATTTCCGGTTTTTCTCCCTCATACAGAAAACTGCTCGCTGTACTATGTTTGTGACAATGGATTACCAAAGTTAATGGGTTGCCCCTCACCCCTTCACTTCAACCGACAACTTAACGTATGTGACTATGAGTGGAGAGCTGGCTGTTCTAAAAATGGTGAGTTTCAGGTATTCTCTTTCTTTTGTGTTCTTTTTTCTTAAAAATTGTGGATTCTCAAACACCAACAGCTATGTTTCAAATTGTCATCTGTTCCATAGATCATAAAGAATTTACTTCTATGTGTTGTTGATTCTGCTTCTATGGTTCTGTTACCATCTATAACTGATATTGTTGTGTTATTAACAATGTCGTCTTTGGAAGATATTATTACTTCCGTTCTGTTGTTATTTGGTTGAACTGTATATCCTAAACTGGTATTTGAGAATGGACTGTCTGTGTATCCTGTCCTATCTGCGACGTTTGTAGAAGAACTATTTGTCACTTCGGGTTTTATTGACGACAAATGATCTAATTTGAAAAATATTCTAAATTAATACTATATTTGACACAATCGTATTTAAGAAGGGTATGCCTTGGACACGCTTAATTCAAGTGTTTCGTAAAGTTAACCAACGAATATTTAGAAATTATATGTGAAGCTCGATCTGTCATTCGATTTTACTATTTGCCACTGATTTATACTTCACATTTGTTTTTGATATATTAACATCTTGTCGAAGGAATAATTCGCAAGGTTAAATGTGTAACATTAATACTGAATATTATTGACAGTTCTATATATATATATATATATATGTATAAGATAACGGTGTAAGTAAAAGAGATATCAAAACACTACACATTTAATAACTAAAATTATTTAACAGCTTAGTTTGTCTTAAAATGTGAGACGTTATTATCGAGAAGTCCTTTCGATGTCTTACACGTTTTCAAATTGTGTATTTTATTAGAAAATTGTATAATTAATCTTTTTATTTGCGTAAGATTGATGTGAACAACATTTGTACTTATAGTTCAATAAAGACAGTCTTAAAACCTCACGTATGGAAACGTTGAAGGAAGTTTTTAGAATGTTTCTGAAATATATTTGCATTTTTTAAAACCAGTTTGTGAACACCATTAGTATAAACGGTTCAAACAAACTATATGAAATGAACGTGTCTCGCGTTTTCTGAGTTTAATAAACCTGAGATGTTCTTATCGGATTCTTTATGATCTATGGAACAGATGGCAATTTGAAACATAGCTGTTGGTGTTTGAGAATCCACAATTTTCAAATAAAAGAAAGAGAAGACCTGAAACTCACCATTTTTAGAACAGCCAGCTCTCCACTCATAGTCACATACGTTAAGTTGTCGGTTGAAGTGAAGGGGTGAGGGGCAACGCATTAGCTTTGGTAATCCATTGTCACAAACATAGTACAGCGAGCAGTTTTCTGTATGAGGGAGAAAAACTGGAAATTTCCCGTTTTGGGGAGGACAAACGGTGGCTGGTTCAGTTGTTGTTGTTGTGTTGAGACCTTAAAAAGGTAAAATGAAAATAATCAAAGCCCTTTTATTATCTTCAAACTTATAGACTTCACAAAAAACTCCCCTTTTTTTGTTGAGTCACGAATACGTTTAATTTATCAAAAAACACCCTTCTTCATTAAAAATACACAAATCAAGATGAATTGGATCTTGTGTTAACATTAGTCATTTATTGTAAAACATACAGTTATTCTGAATGGATGTATTTTTAAGCGCTCATACTTACTTCTATGTGTTGTTGATTCTGCTTCTATGGTTCTGTTACCATCTACAACTGGTATTGTTGTGTTATTTAGAATGTCGTCTTTGGAAGATATTATTACTTCCGTTCTGTTGTTATTTGGTTGAACTGTATATCCTAAACTGGTATTTGAGTACGCACTGTCTGTGTTTCCTGTTCTATTTGAGACGTTTGTAAAAGAACTATTTGTCACTTCGGGTTTTATTGATGACAAACGATCTATATGTGATAAAATATTCTAAATTAATACTGTATTTGACACAATAGTATTTAAGAAGGGTATGCCTTGGACACGCTTATTTCAAGTGTTTCGTAAAGTTAACCAACGAATATTTAAAAATTAAATGTGAAGCTCGTTCTGTCATTCGATTTTACTATTTGCCACTGATTTATACTTCAGAATTTTTTTTGCTATATTAAACATCTTGTTGAAGGAATAATTCGTAAAAATAAATGTGTAGCATTAATGCTGAATATTATTGACAGTTCTATATATATGAAATAACGGTGTAAATAAAATAGATCTCAAAACACTACACATTTAATAATTAATAATTATTTGATATTTTTGATTTTCTGATCCAATAGTAGAAAATCATGTAAAGTAATATTAGATTTTACTTATTCGTTCTCGATAATGGATTATGTTTAGAGTATAATATTATGGTTTCATAAACGAATAACAAAAACTCAAATTATTTAATAACTTTCGTTTTTGTAGAAGATGTGATATATTATAAAGTCTTTCTGATCTCTTGGAAGAAAGAAAAACACTATATTGTTTTACGTGAATATGTAGTTACACTGTATACAATTATGTAACTATGTGAACAGCATTAGTGTAAACGGTTCAAACAGGCTATATGAAATCAACGTGTTTCGCGTTTTCTGAGTTTAATAAACCTAAAATGTTCTTATTGGAATCTTTATGATCTATGGAACAGATGGCCATTTGAAACATAGTTGTTGGTGTTTGAGAATCCACAATTTTCAAGAAAAAGAACAGAAAAGAAAGAGATGACCTGAAACTCACTATTTTTAGAACAGCCAGCTCTCCACTCATAGTCACATACGTTAAGTTGTCGGTTGAAGTGAAGGGGTGCTGTGCAACGCATTAACTTTGGTAATCCATTGTCACAAACATAGTACAGCGAGCAGTTTTCTGTATGAGGGAGAAAAACTGGAAATTTCCCGTTTTGGGGAGGACAAACGGTGGCTGGTTCAGTTGTCGTTGTTGTTTTGAGACCTTAAAAAGGTAAAATGGAAATAATCAAAGCCCTTTTATTATCTTCAAACTTATAGACTTCACAAATAAAAACTCTCCTTTTTTTGTTGAGTCACGAATACGTTTAATGTATCAAAAAACACACTTCTTCATTAAAAATACACAAATCAAGAGGAATTGGATATTGTGTTAACATTAGTCATTTGTTGTGAAACATACAGTTATCCTGAATGGATGTATTTTTAATCGCTCATACTTACTTCTATGTGTTGTTGATTCTGCTTCTATGGTTCTGTTACCATCTACAACTGGTATTGTTGTCTTTTTAACAATGTCGTCTTTTGAAGGTATTATTACTTCCGTTCTGTTGTTATTTGGTTGAACTGTATATCCTAAACTGGTATTTGAGAACGGACTGTCTGTGTTTCCTGTCCTATTTGCGACGTTTGTAGAAGAACTATTTGTCACTTCGGGTTTTATTGACGACAAATGATCTATATGGGATAAAATATTCTAAATTAATACTGTATTTAACACAATGGTATTTAAGAAGGGTATGCCTTGGACACGCTTAATTTAAGTGTTTCGTAAAGTTATCCAACAAATATTTAAAATTTGAATGCGAAGTTCGATCTGCCATTCGACTTATATTTCACATTTGTTTTTGCTATATTAAACATGTTGTCGGAGGAATAATTTGCAAGAATAAAGGTATAACATTAACTGAATATTATTGACACTCCCATTTTTATATATATGTGTGTGTGTGTGTGT